TTATCCAAGAACCATAAGGCACATTTATAGAGGGAAAGAAACCTCTAAAATAGTTAAAAAGATTAAGAGAAGTTGTAGTAACCGACATAAGTGATAATAGAAATTTAAAAGAACATTAACCAAAACCAATCCAAACCCATTGCTGTAGAGTTGATTCCGACTCATAATGACCCTATAGGACAGAGCAGGACTGCCCCATAGGGTTCCCAAGGAGCCACTGATGGATTTGAACTACCGACCATTTGGTTAGCAGATGAGCTCTTAACCACTGCGCCACCAGGGTTCCAGAAGAACATTACACGGCAAAAAATTAGAGAAAATTTAAGCAGTGGAAGATGAAAGATAAGTCAAGGGGCAAAACAAAAATAGGCCCAACAATGGGAGTTTAAAAGGGAAAAGAATAAGGCACTGTTAATGAAAATAGATCTCATTCAAGGTAAGTATCAGAGTCTATAGGCAAAGACCTGAATAGGAAACTTTAGCTTTGGGTTTATCTCTCCTCGTTACCAGTGTGGCCATTTTACCTCCTACACTTTGTTTTAGTTATTGAGACTTCCCCATCTGCATCCGTATTTACTGACAAATAAGGGCTACGGAAGCATTTCAAATAATAGTCCACATTTCTATTGGTTCTGCATTCCTAATCAGAGAAAGCTTCCTTGAAAAAAATAACACCCATGTGTCCTGACTGAAAAATGAGTTAAGATAAATGAAGATTAAATAACAGACTTGTTAATCAGGATTTGGGGTAGACTTAAATTTTCACAGTCCATTTTGTCGCTCTCACTTTTGCGCTCTCTCAAGCCTGTATTCCTGCTTATACATTCTCACAACACACATCCACACCCACGCACGCCTGTCATACTTCTCTACCCAGATGGATAAAATGGACTGAAGTTTGGTGTCTTTTATAATCATTATTCACTGCCTTGGAGTTAGACAAATGAGGAGAAAATAAAAAGGATACTTTTTTTTTAAACATAGAGAAACTATTTTCTTATTTTTCTTCTTCCCGTTATGACTCATACTACCCTACCTAGGTACCAGCTTCAGGATAGGTGGATATTCAGTTCCACCATCTGGCAGCCGGAAGATTAAAAGTGAGACAGTTTAAGGAGAAACAAACAACCCAGTATATATATATATACATTTTAATCTCAAAGGAGGTATTTAAAGTAAGTCTCCTCATTCTCAAACATAGTCACTTTTTGTCACTGGATTGTATGTGGACTTGGCTCTATTAGCACAGATATAAAAACATACTAAATAATTGCATCCTTTGCTAATTTGGAGTTTGAGTAGATTTGGAAATTTGGACTTACTGGGAGAGGAGGAGTAATTAGATCTTTGGAATAAGTATAATGGGAATGGTTTGTTATGTGAGAGAAAGCATTGATTGCTTTGAGCAGAAACACTTTGAAAATTCTATAAAACCCCCTTTTTAGGGTCTCCAAAGACAGAAAATTTTCTCAGAAAAAAAGTTGAAGATGAAAGTATTAATGAAATTTCAATATTTAACTCTCTTTTATTTCCTGCATTTAAAAATGGAGGGGAATGTGTTTTGTATACTTCCTAAAAATCTAGAGAGGAAAATACATGTTTTGGTGGCAGTACCATCTCTCTTTCCTTCATTTTCAGCAATTCAGGTATTATTCTATGATGAAAAGTAGAATTTATTAGGACCCTTTCCCAGTACTGAAGGGTCCCAACTTTAATAAATCACTCTGTATTCTTCTTCAAACAAAACTTCTTTCTTCCCTGAATCTAAACCTGTGTAAGACCCCTCCAGTCAAAGGTAAAGGATTCCTAAGAGTATGCCTTCCGTATACGTTCTTCCAAAAGGACTGAAATAATCTATCCAAACTCCTCTAAATTTTTAGAAAAAGGAAGCAAAACAGAAGAAGTAAACCTTACAGGTTTTCCCCACAACTCTCCTTACCTTAGGATAATTACTGTTGCTACTTAAAAATAGAAGCAGATAGCATAGTTATAAGTTCTGACCTTTTAATTTAATTTTACTTTTACAATAGATTCACATCATGTATCCATCTTCCCAACTCACTCATAGGAAAGTAGCTTCCGCTCGTAATACGACCATTACTTTAATCAGTGACTAGAAACGTGAAGACTTGAAGGAATGAGCTGAAAGGGATTGAAATTGGTTAACCGTAGATTGCTCTTTAGTTAATTATAGATACCTGAATTAATCAAAAATATGCACTTAGGCTCTGCAGAGCAGCTTGTCAAAATCTGCTTGCTTAAGAGTACCCTGCTTTTTGCTCTTTTTTTAATGCATTCGAGAAGAAACACTCCACTATGGTAACATATGATGAAAGTGACACTAATTTGGAATGTAAATATATGCAGGGTGTTTTAAACCGACAGCATTTTGTATGTAAAAATACTTTCTAAAGCATATACTATATTTGAAATTCAATTGACAGAGAATAAAGCAATAGCAATCATTTTATTCTAATTTTTAAAGTGTACTTGGGAAGAGGGTATTTACTCAATGATATAATTTTTTTTTTTTTTTTTGCTTTGTAAGAGAAGAGCACATATCTTGGTTATGTTTTAATGCTTGGCTTTGAACTGGGACTGGTTGAAAATTTGGCTTTTCTTTAGGTCAGATCATATGAAATAGATAATATTCAAACATTTTATTTTTACCTAAATAAAGGGTCAGTTCACATAGTTTCACCAAAAGCATAGGGCTTCCTTAAAGGAACAACATCCCCCAAAGGAAAGGATACTTTTTTTAAAAAACAGCAATTCTTTTATGTTTTGTATATTCTGAATAACCTCTTAAGTTTTGGAATTGTAACACTTGTAATTGGTACAAATGGTTCGCGCTCAACTACTAACCCAAAGGTTGGTGGTTTGAATCCACCCAGTGATGCCACAAAAGAAAGGCCTGTTGATTTATTTCCATAAGATTCCAAAAAAAAAAAAAAAAAAAAAAAAATCCAAACCCATTGCCATTGAGTCAATTCCGACTCATAGCAACTCTATATTGAAAATCCTATGGAGTGTAGATCTGCTCTGAAACGCATGAGGTCGCCATGAGTCAGAATCAACTCTATGACAATAAGTTTTAGTTTAATTTATTAAATAAATATTTGTTCACCCAATTGCCCATGCTATTTTCTGGAAATCAGGTGGACACCTTTGGAATCCACATGGATTTAATTATCTATTCTAATGTCCTTAATATAGTTTAAGTGTTGAATACAGCTATTAGTTTGCCAGGACAATGTAATGAGTTGATAAATTCATAATGCATATATTCACCACCACAGTCAAAATATGAAACATTTATTTCACCCTGCCTCATGCTTCTTTACAATCAATGCCCCCTCCTCTGCCCCTTCAAGAAGCCACTGAAACCACTGATCTGATCACTATAGCTTAATTTTGCTTCTCCTAGAACTTATGAGAATGGAATAATATGTAGTATGCACTTTTTTCCCCCTGGCTTGAACCAGCATAATGTTTTGGGAAGTCACCTATGTTGTTGTGATGTCAGTGGCTTATTTCCTTCCATTCCTATGTTTTAGGATTCCATTATATGAATATATCATAATTTGTTTATCTATTTATCTATTCACCTATTGATGGACATATGGGTTGTTACCAGATTTTGGCTATTAGGAATAAAGCTGCTAGGAATACTGTATGTTGTTGTTGTTAGGTGCCATTGAGTCGGTAATGACTCATCGCCACCCTAGGTACAACAGAACAAAACACTGCCCAGTCCTGTGTCATCCTCACCATCATTCTTATGCCTGAGACCACTGTTGCAGCCACTGTGTCAATTCATCTCATTGAGGGTCTTCCTCTTTTTCTGATGACCCTCTGCGTTACCAAGCATGATGTCCTTCTCCAGGGATTGGTCCCTCCTGATAACATGTGCAAAGTATGTGAGACAAAGTCTCGCCATCCTTGCTTCTAAGGAGCATTCTGGCTGGACTTCTTCCAAGATAGATTTATTTGTTCTTCTGGCAGTCCATGGTATATTCAATATTATTTGCCAACACCATAATTCAAAGACATCAATTCTTATTCGGTCTTCCTTATTCATTGTTCAGCTTTCCCATGCATATGCGGTGATCGAAAACACCATGGCTTGGGTGAAGCATGCCTTAATCCTTAAAGTGACATCTTTGCTTTTCAACACTTTAAAGAGGTCTTTTGCAGCAGATTTGTCTAATGCAATGTGTCGTTTACTTTCTTGACTGCTGCTTCCATGGGCGTTGATTGCAGATAGAATGAAATCTGTTACCACTTCACTCTTTTCTCTGTTTATCATGATGTTGCTTATTGGTCCGGTTGTGAGGGTTTTTGTTTTCTTTATGTTGAGGTGTAATCCATACTAAAGGCTGTAGTCTTTGATCTTTCACCGGTAACTGCTTCAAGTCCTCTTCACTTTCAGCAAGCAAGGTTGTGTCATCTGTATAAGGCAGTTTGTTAATGAGTCTTCCTCCAATCCTGATGCCTCATTCTTCTTCACAGAGTACAGCTTCTTGGATTGTTTGCTCAGCATACAGATTGAATAAGTATGGTGAAAAGATACAACCCTGACACACTTTTCCTGATTTTAAACCATGCAGTATCCCCTTGTTCTGTTTGAATGACTGCCTCTTGGTCTATGTACAAATTTCTCATGAGCACAATTATACGTTCTGGAATTCCCATTCTTTGAAATGTTATCCATAATTTGTTATGATCCACACAATTGAATGCCTTTGCATAGTCAATAAAGCACAAGGAAACATCTTTCTGGTATTCTCTGCTTTCAGGCAAGTTCCATCTGTCACGAGCAATGATATCCCTCATTCTATGTCCTCTTCTGAATCCAGCTTGAATTTCTGGCTGTTCCCTGTTGATGTACTGCTGCAACTGCTTTTGAATGATCTTCAGCAAAATTTTACTTGCATGTGATATTAATGATATTGTTCAATAATTTCTGCATTCTCTTGGATCACCTGTCTTTGGAATAGGAGCAAATATGGAGCTCTTCTAGGCAGTTGGCCAGGAATGCTGTACGCAAGACTCTAAGTTTTCATTTCTCATGGGTAAGTACATAGGAGTGGAATTGCTAGGTCATGTAGTAAATGTATGTTTAATTTTATAGTAAATTGCCAAACTGTATTTCAGAATGGTAATATCCTGATTTTTGTTCAATATCCTCTGTATTATTAGTTTTCTTGTTGTTACTGTAACAACTTATCACAAATTTACCTGCTAAAAACAACACAAATTTATTATCTTAGAATTCTAGAGGAGAGAAGTCCAAAATGAGTCTTCTGGAGGTAAAGTCAAGGTGTTGGTAGGGCTGGTTCCTTCTGGAAATTCTGAAGGAAGTATCCCTTTTCTTGCCTTTTAGAGCTTCTAGTGGCTGCCGGTACACCTTGTCTTGTAATCACTACAACCACTTGCTTGTGTCTTCACACGTCCTACTGTCTCTTTGACCTCTTGCCTCCCTCTTATAAGGACCACTTAGGACATATCCAGATAATCCAGGATAATCTCCCCATCTCAAGGTCCTTAACCACATCTGCAAATTCCCTTCTGCAATTTAAGGTAACATTCCCAGATTCTGGAGATTAGGACATTGATGTTTTGTGTGCCATTATTCAGCCTACCAGAGCCTCTAGCCTTCTAACCACATAATTTCAACAAAAATTACTCATTTAGCCAAACTCTAAAGTGCGTAAAATGTCTCCCCAGGTTTAAAATATGCTGTTAATTTGTGGTTACTGTGTGCCAGATGAGGAGCCCTGGTGGTGCAGTAGTTTAAGTGCTTGGCTGCTAACCTAAAGGTCGGCGATTTGAACCCACCAGCCACGCTGAGGGAGAAAGATGTGGCAGTCTCCTTCTGTAAAGATTTACAACTTTGGCAACTCTATGGGGCAGTTTTACTCTGTCCTACAGTGTCTCTATGAGCTGGAATTGACTCACTGGCAGTGATTTTTTTTTTTTTTTAATGCCAGATACTGTGCTAAACACTTTGTATACGTAATCTCTAATCCTCACAGCAGTGCTATAACATAGTTTTAAATATCCCCAGTTTAAGATGAAAAAAGAGACTTTTGTGCACACTTTTGCACAAGGTCACACTATGGCAGAGCTAGAATTTAAACCTGTGCGATCTTACTCAAAAAGTCCATACTGTTAACCATTACATTTCATGGCCTTTGTCTTGTTCCATCTCTTCTAATATTTTTCTCTACAACTTAGTTACATTATAGAGATGGCTTTCTAACGTCAATTTTGATTGCACTTATTTGTTACAGTCTTAGTGCAAAGTATCATGTTAGACCCTGTTAGGAAAGAAAAATGAATTGGAGTATATAGTCCAGATAGGGGAAATTATGTAAGCATAAAAATCAAAATGATGCAATATTCAATAAGTTACATGCTGTGATGGTTAATTTTATGTGTCAGTTTGGCTAGGCTATATTTGGCCAGATACTGGACTGGTTGCTGTAATGTAACATAATGTAATGTAATGTAATGTAATGTAACGATCACTTTCCATGATGTGATCTGATGTGATCAACCAATCAGCTGAAAGTGGAGTTTTGCTGGGGCTATGGTCTGCCTCCAGAGCGTAAAGAGAGCTTTACGGCAGAGCTCTCTTTTGACTCTGTACTCTTCTCGTCGCCTGACTTATGTATCCTGGGACATAATCTTGCAGAAATCTCTGGCCTGCCACCTGACCTACAGATATTGGACCTGCCTGCCCCACAATTGCATGAGCCAATCCTTTGAAATCTCTCTCTCTTTCTATGTATATGCTTGATGTATATATCAATCACTGGTTTTGTCCCTCTAGAGAACCCAAACTAAGACATATGCTGTATGAAAGACAGAAAGAGTTGTTGGAACTTCAAAAGAGAGATAAAACGTTTAGTTTTATTTGGTAATGTTGGTGGAAGAGTACTGGGAATCCATGAGGAGACGACAGTGTTCTGGAATCAGCAAAGTCCTCATGGATTTGAGTCACTTTTGAGACAATTTTTTTTTTTTTTTAAGATTTACTGAAAACCATTGGGAAAACAGTAGCATAGTGTTTAAGAGCGCAGGCTGCTAACCAAAAGGTTGGCAGTTCAAATCCACCAGCTGCTCCTTGGAAACTCTATGGGGCAGTTCTACTCTGTCCTATAGGGTTGCTATGAGTCAGAATTGACTCTATGACAATGGGTTTTATGGATCTATCGTTGGGTACTTCTTAGTCATCACAACTTGGTTTACGTCCAGTATAATGTAAGTGGTATTCAAACATGGGTTAGAAAACTTACTAGATTGCATTCTATGTAGCAGGATGGTATTTTGAAATATTTCCAGATGTAGACTGTAAATTATTGTCCTAAGGTGAGAAACACAAAAGAACCCAGCAAGACCTAAGTCAAATTCTTGGCTTTTTAGCTCGTAAGTAAATAGTAATTTTGATAATTTTAATAGTAAAAATAACTACTTACTATGTGCTAGTTCTAGTTCTGACATTATACGAAGTGTTGTTAGTTGCTGTCAAGTTGATGTCAACTCATGGTGACCCCTTGTGTGCAGAGTAGAACTGCTCCAGAGGATTTTCTAGGCTGTGACTTTCTGGAAGCAGATCACCAGGCCTGTCTTCTGAGGAGTGTCTAAGTGGGTAGGAACTGCCAATCTTTTAGCTCATAGTTGACCACGTAATCATTTGCCCCACCCAGGGACTCCTACTAAGTGCTAAACTTTTTTAATCATAACACTGCTTTGAGATAGGTACCTTTATTATGTTCATTTTTCCAGATGAGGAAACAGAGACACAGAGAGGTTGAATAGAGTGTTTAAAATCAAATAGCTGGTAAATGTTTATACTGGGATTTGAACTTGGGCTTTCTGGCTCTTGAGACCAAGTACCTAATCATTGCATATTACTGATTGTAAGGATAGACTAAGTAGACTATTGTTAATCTACTTCAGAAACTGTACATGGTTCAAAAGCCAGCACTTTTTATTTTCATGAACTGGGCTTTATTGAGAGACCATCAATTTTTTTTGAGATTCTAAAAGTTGGGCTTTGAAAATAAAGATAACACAGGACATATGGTTTATATCAAGAGTCACAGAGTTAGCAAGAATGCAGGATAATGTAAGTCCAGAGCCTTGTTTTGTTTGTCACTTAAAGGAGATGATCAGCTAGTGGGAACAGTAAAAATATGAGAGGAACCTAGTGAAGTGGGTGCCAGAAAGGGCCCTGCCTACCTCCATTCTTTGGAGTCTAAACCTCAAAGGGAGGGCAACAGAAATCCCAGGTAAGTGTATGGAGATCTCAGAGCAAGTAAGACCATGATGGGGCTCCACAGTTCACAGATACCAAACTTCAAACTGTAGAGAAGCCCCAAGTCCAACATCATGCCTGAGTGGTAGACCCACAGTGAGAGAGGAAGAGGTCTGACAAATAGGCCCAAGGGAAACCTCCCAGAGTCTAGTGCACTCTATGTCAGTAATCCCAAAGGGGACTAGAGGTTTATGGCCCAAGGACTGGAGGTTATGACAAGATATAGCTTTCTAGTCAAGACAGGCATCAAGGGCCAAAGTGGTACACAAAGGTCAAGTGAACAAAATAGTCAGCATTGCCCATGAGAACTGAGGATGGCACATTTCATAGACATTCCTGGCCTGATGCTGAGACACACTGTGAGTCTCCTAGAGCTTAGTTTCTCCCTGAGGAGAAGAGAGAAGAATGAAATGATAGAATTTTATACCAAAAGATATTGAGGCATGTCTGGAAGTGATGGAACCACCTTGAATTAGCTATTTTAAACTTTTCATTAGAACAAACTTGGGAGCTAAGTGAAAATCATTTACAGAAAAGTTACACTTTAACAAACCTGACTTTGGTTGCCTGAGATATTCATACTCCCTACATATAAAAAAGGAAAATAAAAACATAACAACCAAGGCAATGCCCTTACTCAGCTTGATCAAGACACACTTTCCCATTGCCAGAGAGTCGATTCTGACTCAAGGTGACCCCATGCATTACAGAGTAGAACTGCATTTGATAGGGTTTTCATGACTGTAACCTTTCAGAAGCAGATTGGCAGGCTTTTCTTCTGTGGCACCGCCGGGTGGATACAAACCACCAACCTTTTGTATAGTAGCCAAGTGCAAATTGTTTGTGTACCCAGGGACCTTTTGACTCAGACAACTTGGCCATAAATATTTTTTCCTTAGATTTCAGATTCTTTTGTTTTAGGATTAGAAACGTTAGCCCTAGGATAGTCCTTAGAGATTAATCTAAGATGCTAAACTCACTTCAGATTATTAAAAAGATAATAAGAGGTAGTATGTGGGCAAAATTAATGGGTAGCATTGCTGTTGTTAGGTGCCGACAAATCGGTTCCAACTCATAGAACCTCTGTATACAACAGAACAAAACACTGTCCAGTCCTGTGCCATCCTCACAATCATTGCTATTTTTGAGCCTATTGTTGCTGCTACTGTGTCAATTCATCTTGTTGATGGTCTTCGTCTCTTTCACTGACCATCTACCTTATCAAGCATGATGTCCTTCTCCACAGACAGTTCCCTCCTGATAACACGGCCAAAGTACATGAGATAAAGTTTCGCCATCATTACTTCCAAGGAGCACTCTGGCTGTAGTTCTTCCAAGACAGACTTGTTCTTTCTTCTGGCAGTCTATGGTGTAGTCGATATTCTTTGCTAACACCATAACTCAAAGGCATCAGTTCTTTTCTGGTCTTCTTTATTCATTGTCCAGATTTCACATGCATATGAAGTGATTGAAAATACCATGTCTTCGGTCAGGTGCACCTTAGTCCTCAAAGTGACATCTTTGCTTTTCAACACTTTAAAGAGGTCTTTTGCAGCAGTTTTGCCCAATGCAGTACCTCATTTGATTTCTTGATTGTGGCTTCCATGGACATTGATTGTGGATCCAAGTAAAATGAAATCCTTGACAATTCTCCCATGTAAAAAAAGACTGTTTTCATTTTTCAAAGTCATATGGCAAAGCCATGGTTAATGGTGAGGCCAAGGTTTCTTAAAAGCAGTTCATTACTTTTA